GAACACACCATTATTTGTGCTTATAATTTTTGCAACTTTTCCCACCTAGATAATTTTGACTTCCTCTGAGATTCATGGGTTATCTGGGGTATAGTTTCTTGATTATATAATACCTGAATTTTTTTTTAAAGATTTATTTATTTATTTGTGCATACAGAACTGGGGTACAGGCCAGAGGCTCAGGGGCGGTGAGAGGCTTCACCAGAGACAGAGTGGGGAGCAGAACAGGCAGATCTACGAAGTACACTGCTGAGGGAAGCAGCGGGCGGGTCAGGAGAGGTCTGGCTCGCCATATGGCCTCCTCCGGGACAGGCGGCAGGCGGGAATCGAACTCATGCGGAAGTGGCTTCAGATTCTCAGTGCTGTGCTTTAACCTGCTGCGCCACCAGGGAGGGCCGAATTTTTTTTTTTTTTTTAAAGATTTATTTATGCACACAGAACTGGGGTATAGGCCAGAGATGCAGGGGCGGTGAGAGGCTTCACCAGAGACAGAGTGGAGAGCAGAACAGGCAGATCTACGAAGCACACTGCTGAGGAGAGCAGCGGGTGGGTCAGGAGAGGTCTGCCGCGCCATATGGGCACCTCTGGGCAGGGGGGGGAATCAAACTCATGCGCAAGTGGCTTTGGCTTCTCAGTGCTGCGCTTTAACCCGCTGTGCCACCAGGGAGGGCCAATACCTGAATTTTTAATAGCTATTCCCCCTCACTGATTTCTTATTCTTGTTTATTATTAGAGTATATGACATATACACTTTTTTTCTAATTATAAGACCAAAAGAAAAACAAGTGTATTCTCAATGTTTAGGAAATTAACATTTTGTAGTTGCTAAGTAGAATTTGTTAACTATCTTACCTAAATTCTCCATATTATGACTTTTAAAAACCTATTTGACCCACCAACTTCTGAAATATAAGAAGACTCCCCACCCTGACTATACATACATTTTCAAATTCTCTTTTATTGTTAGGAGATTTTGTTTTATGCAGTTGTTTGCTATGCTGGTTGTTGTATAAAGTTTTATGACCGTTATATCTTCTTCGTGGGCTGCATCTTTTATCATCACATAATATTCTTTAGTCTTGTTTAATACATTTGTCCTTGAATTTGCTCTGTGACATTGCCACGTCTGTTTTTCCCCCTTGGCTTTGAATGATCTATCGTTGCTTAGCTCTTTATTGTTTTTTATTTTTTTTCAGTCTTTTGAAAAAAAAAATGTGTTTTAACACATAGCTAGATTTTATTTTTATTTTAACACACCTAATTTTAAATAGGGGCATTAATTCTGTTCACATCTTTGTGTTGGTGGATGTACTGAGGGTTTAGGGCTTCTGAGTTATTTTTTGTTTGGGACCTGTATCCATCGGGATGTGTTTGACTGTAAATAGCAGAATAATGACTAATAACTGTTTAATGAAGTAAGTTTTTCATATTTGTATTACCACATTTTATTTGGTTATTATAGAATGTTATTTCTTAAAGTTTCTTATATTTCTCCAAAAGCAAAAATCTGAGTGGTCTTGGTTCATGTGCACAAGAAGCTCATGAAGGACACACATCTGTCTGTCTGTCTTTCCGCTTACTCATGCTCACCATGGGACTTTCTTCCTCGTGGCTGCAAAAGTCTTTCAGTAGCTCGTTCCTTGCACTAAGAAGAAGGAGAGGTCACAGAGCAGAGCGAGGGCCTTGATCTGTTTGGAGAAGAAAAGTCCTTCACTGCGACTATTGCCTACGTTTGTTGTCAAATAATGGGCATCTGGGACTTCTAGATCATCACATACTAATGAGAAGGGTTTAGGCCAACTTAACTTGTCATTTGAGGTTGGGTTAGAAATTCATATCTCCGGAAACTGGAGGATAGCTGTTACCTCCCTCAAAAATTGGAAACTGAGTTTTTCGTAAAGGATAGATTGGGTGGGGGCAGGAAACTGCCGATGTCTGTATCACACCTGTATAGTCTCACTTTATTGCTTTTACAGGATTGGCAAGACTTTCACCGTTTACATTCCGACTCTGAGTTTGAAGTTTTGTAACTCTAGCAGTAGTTGCTTTCCTGGTTCGATCAGTACTAATTAAACTTGTGATCCTCTATTACCATTTTTTTTAATGCCCTTATATATTATTAGGGGAACTAACACTTCTTTCTGTAGTAGATAAATCCTGAAATCTTAGTGGGCTAATACAGCAAAGACTCTTTTCTTGATTATATCTCAGTTTGCTGTGGGTTGGGTGGCTCCTCTGTGTGGCTTGTTTTCAAACATTGGCTCGTGGATTGAACTTCTTTTTTCTTGCATGGATGAGAAAGAGAATGAGAAAAAGGAATGCTAACAACACACAGTCTCAGCATGAGACTGGGCAAATCACTTCTGACATTCCTTTGACATCCTCTTGGCTCTTTCAATAGATATGGCCTCGTGGAACTGCAGGGAAACTGACAAAGGTAGTCATATGTTGGGTGGGGCACCAGGAAATGCATGGTCACTTCCCCAATGGTCAGTGTGGTCACTCACGAATTACATTTTTCTCTTCCATATAAATACACTCACCACCTCCTTAAGGCATAGACCCTCAAGTCTCATCCAGCCATTCACTGCATCCAGCTCAAAGTCCAGGGTCTATAAGGGTTCTGCATTAGTCTTCATAAGGCCTGGATGCGGCTTAAGAGACACTTCTGAACATCCCACATTTTAAAGACCCAATACACAGCAGTAAAGCAGAGTCAGAGTATCTTCTATAAAAAAGGGAAGAAGGTGAGATCCACTGATTCGCTAGACTATGGCATTCCTGAAGTCCCGCCCATCAGGTCTGTGATGTCCCCCTGCCTGGACAGTGATGGGACATCCTTGAATGGACACTCACTGTCCTCCATGTTCATGTTCCTCCTGGGGTTCCTCTGGGTGAGTGTTGAGGGTCATGCCTCCATACTTACCTTCTGTTCATCAAAGTGGAGCCCCAAGTGTTGTTCAGGTCTTAGACATGGAGTTTAAAGTCTACATACACTCCAGCCCTCCCTGGTGGCCAGTGGGTTAGAGCCCAGCATTGCAAGCCAGCCTCAGCCACTTCAGTACGAGTTGGATCCCCAGCCCCAGAGGTGATCCACGTGGCATGGCATGACTCCTATCCCCACTGGCCCGGAGGTGACCACATGGTGCGGCAGACCTCTCCTGAACCGCCCGCTGCTCCCCTCAACAGTGTACCTCCTCGATCTGCCTGTTCCGCTCCCCGCTCTGTCTCTGGTGAATCCTCTCACCGTCCCTGCAACTCTGGCCTTTACCCCAGTTCTGTATGTATAAGGAAATAAAAATCTTTAAAAAACAAAAAATGTCCAGGCTCCCGAACCTAGGAAGCTTCTGATTGGCTGGCTTCCACGTCTCATCTAAATAAAACTCTTTTCTGCACGTATTTTATAAATGGAATGTATTCTTTGCTTCTTCCCCTCTATGCCTCTCCCTTTCCATGGAAAGTTCCTACCTTAGGCTCTTAGTGAAAACACATGAAGCGCCTGCGCTCTTAGTGTGCTGTGGCTATCTGGCTCTGTTGAGGTTAGCAATAGGGAGGGGTTATGTAGACAAGGGATTTACTAAGGACATTCCTGGGAGACACTGAGGGCAGGGCTCTGGAGGGGACTGGGGGAGCCATCACAATGCAAGGCCAGTCTGACCTTTCAGGCTGCATTGAACCCAATGGGAGGACAGGTTGGATTTGATCATTGTGCTGTCCAAGGAAGTCTCCTCAGGGCCTTGGGGACTTGCTGGCCAGAGGAGGCCGGTGTCTCCCAGGACACATGTCCTGCTCAGCCACAGGCTGAGAGTCACCTTCAGAAAGTGGCTTTGGGAAAAACCCAGAGCACTGGAGTCCCAGTGTTATGCTGCCTCAGCTGACTCACTTTGGAGGTTTTATTACAGGTAGTAAAAAAAAAAAAACTTAAAAAAAATTCCATTTCTTGACGTTTAGGCCATAGAAGGAAGAGTTTTTTTTTTCAATCCTAAACGTCCCAAATTTCTGTATATTTGCTATTCCTTTTCATCACTACTTGTAGAACACTCACGTCTTTTTGATCCCATTTCTTGCTCTTAATACCTTGCTAAACACAGCAGCTAGCAGCTAACCATCAACTAACATTCTATGTTCTGGTCTTTTCCCTTACAATGACAAGTTCAGAAGACATCGGGGTCTTTTAAATTATTGTATTTGACAATTTACCGAATGTTTGCTCCTGTACACTGTGAGTTCCCAGTCACGCAGCATGCTAAGCCCGCTCACCACTCGCGTGGATCAGAGGGAGAGGGAGATGGGGATGTAGGTGCCTTGGCTTTGGGGTAACACAGGTCACTATTGTATTTAACACCCTTGTTTATTTTTCACAACAGGATTTCTCCCCGCAGGTGCGGTCAGCATAGTTCTTTCATCGCCAAAGTACCCACAATCCTCCCACACTCCACCTGCTTTCCCAGCTCCTGCCCCCCCCCCCACAGCCCCATCCTCTCTCTCCCCTTCTGCCTCCCTTCCCTAGTGTCTCCCACCTACAGGCTGCTTTCAAGGGTCAGTCTAACAGTTCTCCTTTGTTTGGTCTCTCTAGAGTCCACCTATCAGTGAAATCGTCCAGTATTCACCTTTCTCCTTCTGGCTCGCTTATTTTAGAATAATTCCCCCCAGTTCTAGCCATGTTGCCCCAAATGCACGAGCTTATCTTCTTTGATAGCCGAGTGGTATTTCACAGACACAGGTCTCTTTGTTGTGAGCGTGCTAGGCTGGTGCCCGATGTTCTCACTGCTGAAGGGTTCAGGAATTTTGTCCGGGTCACCCGCTGCGGCAGGCTGACTTGACTGCGTGTCGTTTCCAGCCTGGGTGGGAGAGGGATGCCACAACTTACACGCGGGATTCCCTGGAGTCTTTTTACTAGGCGACAGCAGAGTGGGGTGATGGCCGTGTACCACCCGCCAGCTAGGTCATTCTTCCTAATAAGAACTCAGACTCTCTCTGCTCCCTCCTTGTGCTGCGAGGCAGCGAGTGACAAGCACATCCAGTGGCTCCTGGGTGCGGACGGCGAGGTCTGGGTCTGGATCATGGGAGAAGGCCCCGGTGACAAGCCCTACGAGGAGATCTCTGAGGAGCTGATAGCCGAGCGGGCACGGCTGCAGGCCCAGAGGGAGGCGGAGGAGCTCTGGTGAGAGGCGCCAAGGGGGGCTGGGTGGGGCCTGAGTTTGGGTCAGGCCAAGTTAAGGACAACAGGTGGGGGGTTGGGGGGGCAGGGAGGCGGAGCTACTATTTGGGCTTTGCGGTGACCACATCTGCGGGCTTCATTGTCCTGTGTCAGGTGCTCCCAGTGAGCTCAAGTCCTGGCTCCTCCAAGCAGAGGTGACCTGGTCTGGGTCTAGGTCTTCCTGTCCTTGGTGTGGGCTTGAGACACTCTCTCCAGACGATGCAGGCTGGAGTCCCGAGATACAGCACTCTGCATGCGCTTGCTTACACAGCTCTTTTCCTCAGTGAGTTGTCCTCAGGGCAATAGAACAGCATGGGTTCATTTTTGTAATCTGCTTCTTTTTGTGTTACCTGTAGTTCTCACACAAGATGGACAATTGAGCCCCTGGTGAGAGTCCTTGTGTTTTTACACCAAACTTGAGAATCCAGATGAATTTTCACTTCCAAGTCCTATCCTCAACCTCCTTGCCTTTTAATTTTTTTTTTTTTAGATTTATTTATTTGTACATACAGAACTGGGGTACAGGCCAGAAGCTCAGGGGCGGTGAGAGGCTTCACCAGAGACAGAGTGGGGAACAGAACAGGCAGATCGACGAAGTACACTGCTGAGGGGAGCAGCGGGCGGGCCAGGAGAGGTCTGTCACGCCATGCGGTCACCTCCGGGGCAGGCGGGAATCAAACTCATGCGGAAGCAGCCTCAGATTCTCAGTGCAGTGCTTTAACCCGCTGCGCCACCAGGGAGGGCCACCTTGCCTTTTAATTTTTAATTGTAAAATTGTAACAACTCAATATCCACCGCTTTCAAAGAACTACAGGGAATGTTTAGACAGTACATGCTTTGTAAACAGCTTTATTCACACACTCATAAATGAAATTATATATTACCATACACTATTTAAAATTACTATATGGTAATCTATTACATGAGAGACAGTTAGATTTTGTTGATGGATATTTAGGCTTTTGCTATGTTTTGTTATAAAAATCCTCTGATGGTCCTCCCCATTAGGGGTTAAAGGTACAGCACTATCAAGCTATCCATCCCCAGCCACTGAAACATGAGTTCCATCCCAGGCCAGGGAGGTGACACACATGGCACAGTAGACCTCTTTTGTCTCACCTGCTGCTCCCTTTAGCTGTGAATTTCAGTACACTTGCCTGTTCTGCTCCCCAGTCTGTCTCTGGTGAATACTTCACCCCCCACACTTCTGCAATACACCCCAGTTCTTGCATGCACAAATAAATGAATCTTGGAAAAAATGCCTGATGAACATCTTTGATCTATATAACTTTGTATACTTGAGTGAAAAATGGGATTTCTGAGTTTTTTCACCCCTGGTTTCCAGAACCAGAGTGATTTCTATTCCTACATAGTAGAGTGCATATTTCCCCTCTTTTGCCATTCTGACAGACTAAGAAAGGGTTCCTCATTGTATTTATTTGAAATTTTGTTGTTACCTGCGACTTCAGTGTCTTACATGAGTTTATACCGACTGGCATTTTCTTGGAAGGAGACAGAAGGAGGCTGAGATCACCAAGAAATTCCGGGATGCTCTGGCTAATGAGAAAGCTCGGATCCTGGCGGAGAAGTGGAAAGTGGAGATGGAGGACCGCAAGGCTTCCAAAATTCTGGAGGAGCGCATCCAGGAGGAATTCAGGGTGAGCCGTGCCTGGGGTGGCCCCACCTCAGCGCCCAGACCTGTGACAGATCTCTGGTTTACTTAATGGATCATTCTGCAGACTAGAACATTCTTGATGGATAATTTTTGCCTTTTAGAATCGTGACTATTTCTTTCCATAGTCTTGTTTGAAGAATGCTTTGGTTGAAATCCAGAAAAATCCTAACTTTATAAATTATTATAGTACTTCTGGATGTTCAGAAGATTAAAATTTTCATTAGATTTTTATCATCCTTTTACATTATTATTCATTTTATGTTTAGAATGATCTATGCTGTCACCAAATTTATAAAAGTGTAAGTCCACATTTTTTATCTTTCATATTTTGACTTTTTTGCATTTCCTTTTCCTTTACTTTGAAGTGTAGTGTGATATAATATTCTATTTTTTTCTTCCAAATGGCTAACTAGTTGTTCCAGAACCATTTATTTTGTAATCTATTCTCTCCCATCATTGGACTGGGTGCTCCTAAATTTTTTGCTTCTGCACTTTGTAGAATTTTCTTCTTTGACTACTTACCCTGAACCCTATTTACTTATTTAGCTGTTACATTGTTATTACATCTTTTTTTTTAAAAAAAAATTATTTATGCATACAGAACTGGGGTAAGACCAGAGGTGCAGGGGCTGTGAGAGGGTTCATCAGAGAGTGATGGGAGCAGAACAGGCAGGTTCTGTTGAGGGGAGCAGATGGTGGGCTAGGAGAGGTCTGCCGCGCCATGTGGATCACCTCGGGGCGGGGGATCAAACTTGCACTGAAGCATCCAAAGCTGCTGCATCACCAGGGAGGGTCCTGTTACTACATCTTTGAAGGAAGAATTTATTATTGCTCTTCATTTTCAAAATGTCCTTGGCTTCTCTCCCAGTTTTTGTTATGAGAGATATATTTTAATTATTTTATCATTAACCTCCTGCCCAACCCCAACAAAAGTCACAAGATGATTTTTGTTGGAATTGTGTAAATGCTATAATGCTATAGTTGTATTTGTAGAAGATGGACATTTTTTACCATGTTGAATTGCTAAATCTTTTTATGTGGTACAGTCTTCCTATTATTAGAGATTTTGTGTTTTTGATAAAGTTTTTATTTTTTGACATCTGTAAATGCACCTGCCTCCCAATCCCAAATATTCTTAATAAGGTGAGATATATATATATATATATATATATATATATATATATATGCTCTTTTATTTTTTGGAACTTGGTAAAATTTATTGTTTTATTTAAGTACTCCACGTTTCCTTTTTAGTTAAACCATAGGGTTACTATTTTATTGTTGTGAATGAGATTGTTTCTGTTGCTCTTTTCACAATTGTTAATTTTATATTGATATTATTATTTAATTTTCCCATGAGATATATTTATTGAGAGATCCTCTTCATTTTTAAAGCGAGGCACTATTTATTCTAAAAACAAAAATAACTTCAAACCTCAGAAAATTTAAAAGAAAGATAAAACAAATACTCATGCGTTCTCAAATTTACTGATTACTAACGTTTTGCCACATTTGCATTGTCTCCACACACACACACACACACACACACACATTTTTGTTGTTATTGTTCTCTTAAGCAATTTGGAAGGAAATTACAGTCGTCATAAACTTTAATCCAGGGCTTAACAAACTATATTCCATAAAGGGCCATAGAGGACATATTTTGGGCTCTGGGCCTACTGTCCCAGAAACAGCTGTAAACATAAGTAAGCAAAAGGGTGTGACTATGTCGCCAAAGACTATTTTACATAATAGCTGGAGGTCAGATTTGACCTGGGAGCCTTCGTTTGCGACCTCTAGTGTCCTCAGGGTTTCCGCTTGCCTCCTTATAAATGAGAACTTCCCTGCCCAGCCACTTAATAATTATTAAATCTGTTGAAATTAACACGAATTCCATAATAGTGTCAAAAATCTAGTTCACAGTGGAGAAAAATGATGCTTATATGGTTGGAGTTTGTATTAAATATTTGAATATCCCAGGGAAGAAAACAACCCCTTTTCAGTCTGTAATAGTGAGATTGGCCTTTTCCAGCTTCCTTCTTCCTCAAGTGTGGGCTGAGCCCCGATGCTGGAAGATGGTGGAGCTGGGTCCTGGGCTCAATTTGATGTTTTTGGAGATGAGTTGGGAGTACGGGTGGTTCTTGGGTTCACTCTGGGAAAGGTTTCACCAGAGCTCTGCTTTCAGAGGCCCTGGGCAAGTTTCTGCATGACACAGACATTAGTTATATTTAAGGAGCTGGTTTTTTAGAAAAAGTAGAAAAAAGAGAAGGACACTTGCATAGATGCAAGCAGGCAAAGAGAGCTGCTCTGAAAGGGACAGGCTTGCTGAGACAGGACTGTATGGTTGCAGATGTAACCTTGAGGAAGCTCTGCTGAGGGAGCTCAGTGGAGAAAAGCTCTGACATGGTACAAGTCATGGGCAGGCAGGAGGCTGCTGCCCTGCAGAGGGAGAGAGCTGGTGGAAAGCACCTGCATAGTCACAGGTAGGCAGGGAATTGTTGCCCCTCTGTGGGGTTAGTGCTGGGTTTATCATCTTCTTTCAGTAGGGAGGGTCTCATCTCTGTGAGTGGATGGTTTGTTCTTTAATCCCTGTATCTTCATCTTTAGGTCTGTGCTCTCAACACTCCCTACAGTTTATAGTTTATATAGCTAGATTAATGTCTATGTTAATCCCTTTGATCCCCACCTCCTTGTGTGAGACAAGTTCCTGACCTTGTAGCATCCTTTCCGGTTTTTCTATTCTTATCCTCCATCAAGTTCACAAGGAGATTACTGAGGGATTGAGTTCCCAGAAATTTTCTGGTTGATGGTCTCCTAGGTGACAGCAGGATGATAAATTGTGGGGGTTCATAGAGGGTTCAGTATAGTTACCTGGCCAGGCCCTCAGGTTCACTGAGGCTTTTGATGCATTTTGATGCAGGCTTTTGATGCATTTTTCAAAGAAGATTATTGCTGTCATATTTAAATTGTTTTAAAAATTGTTTCTATTTTAAAAATTAATAAGCTAAATGCATTTAATCCTTAATACACAGAGTATTTCTGGCTGGGAATATTTACTTCTTGAAGAGCCTCAGAAATCTATGCAGCATTTGCAAGGCCTGCAGGGGCTCATTAGGCCAGTGTCTGTCAGCAACACCAAATTATGGAGTCGAGCTGGATGGCCCAAATTCATGATGCGATATTCTCTGTCAGAGCCGTCTGTAAATGGACTATCCTTGTGGCGAGCTGAGCTCCTCCTTACAGGAAATGGTCAAGCATAAATTGAAACAGTATCTGAAGAATTTTCTGAGGTGCAGTGAAAATGGCTGGTGGCAAATATTTTCTCCTCCTTCTTTTGAAAAGTGTGGTCTATTTGCCCTCCTTTGAGTAGACTGGCCAACTCTGCACCAGCTTTGGGAAATGTAGTTCAGATGATGAGGTTTGGTGTGTGGGCTTCTTGGGTCCCTCTGAGAGAGAATTCAGCAGAAGTTCCATTCATCAGCATGTGGTAAATTTATCAAGGAGAGGAAATACGGGAGAGATGCCCGCAGAGACACAGGCGACCAGTCATGATAGACAAGAAGTGAATTTTGCTAGACCAACGGGTGTTTGATAGGGGTCGTAGATGAAATTATTGCAGAAATTATCAACTTTGGGTCAGATTAGGTGGGTCTTCTAAGGTCCATGATACTTTCTGTCCCCGCCTCTGACTGACAATCTTAGATTCCTAGAAACTTCTATAGCTGGTTTCGTTTATGATTCTTTAATCATCTCTGCCCCCTCCCTTGATATTTGCCCTTCTCAGACTTTCCATCTCCACTTTCTACTCCAAGTTTCCCCCTGAAATGACAGTGCAAGTCTGGAGGACAGGCTGTAAGAGCGCTTTGACATCCACAGTTGATTGTCTTGCTATGCTCAGACTCGGAAGCATCTCCACAGAAACCAACTATACCAAGTTCCAGGATGCAAAGGAACCAACACTAGTCAAGCACAGAACGAGCCTATGGAGAAGCACCCCACTCAGACACATGAGAGAAAGCTTCCTGGGTCTCCCACTAAGTGACCCCCTCCAAGTGACTGATTGCAATTGATACCAACCACATGGAGCGAAGGGCCATTAGATAAGCCCTCCCTGAATCATCAGTTTATAGAAAAATAAGCACATAAAACAGTTCTTGTTTTGAACCACTAAATTTTCACAGCGACAGATGACTAAAACAGCTTTACCCAAGGGATTTATAGATCAGGTTAGAGATTGACTTAGATCATTGTTATTGCATCTTTTTACACTGTTACTCTAATACAACACGAGAGCATACAAAAAGGCACCAGTGAGATTCATTACTCTTAATATTTTTATTTTTTTTTGTTCCTGAGAATCAAAAAAGCTGGGAAGCTTGCAGGTTGTCGGGCCAGAACCAAGTCCATGAGCAATCCTTAGTGACCCCATCCTGGTGACGGCCATGTGGGGTAAGAAGTCCTTTGGGTGTCTGGACCTGAGTGAAGGCAGGAAATGGAAAGGAGATATATGGAATGGTGACTGGGCTGCTGGGGGGAGGGGTAAAGCCCATGATGGTGGAGCCGGACACGGAAATGCAGAAGGGTGGGCTTTGGAGCACTGCAAGGCTGAAGAGACTGTCTGCTCTCTGTGGGCGTGAGCTGTGAGGACCGGGCACAAAGAGGGGCCAGATTTTGTGAGGTTAATTTGGTGGCGATGGTCTGGTTGAAGTGATGAAATTTGGTGGGAGGGAGCGCTATTTGCATAGTGAAGGTGGGAAATGAAAAGGCCTTGGGCAGAGTCGGTGATTGTGGAGAGAGAGAAGGGGAGGACAGAGGGAACTGTGGTGGTGAAATCAGCAAGACTGTGTATATACACGAGCTGTGGAGATGAGGGAAAGCAAAAAGCAAAGGTAATGGAGCTCCAGGCTAAAGGGCTGGTAGCTGGAACGCCTCTGTCTTGGGGAACCGGAAGGAGGTGCAGGTTTGAGGGAGAAGAATGAACTT